AGTTTTGCGTTGAAACGACCGTACGCTCAATTTTCTGTCGTACGTTCGTTTCTTAAATGAGGCCCAATGTGTGCTAGAATCCCTTTATTTACACACTCTCATAAATTTTCAACATTTCTGTGGACAGAAGTTTACAGCATTCCTCCAATATTCCACCAGTATAGTGTAATAAAAGCTTGATTTTGAAATATTAAAAGCAATGAAGTTTTTAAAAGTGCATGAATTAAAAGTAAACATTTGAAAGGAAAGATATTATATATATATATATATATATATATATATATATATATATAAATATATATATATTAGTATTATAAGTGTAAAATATAGTCAAATAAAAATTGTATTATATTATTCAAGTTTTTTTTTCTTCATTTTACAGTACAATTGTAAATAACAGTAATGTATTTCTGTCTTCATTTTTTTATAATTAAGACTTAAAACTAATAATAGTATAACAATAACTTTTTTTTTTTTACCTGCTTCAGGCATTCCTTGGGCTTTCTGGACGCGCGCCTGAAGAGCCTCTTTAGCAGAGATGAAGAAGATCCGGTCGCTGGCCTGAGCACGATCCACCACCCGCAGCTCATCCACTAAAAAACTAGTGCAGCGGTCCATGTGCTGCCGTCTCACCTGACAAACACACAAGACTCATTATCCCCGTGCAAAAACACCATGTATGCTTCAAAATGGTCACTTTTTAAAAATTAAGGGTTTTTTTTATTATTCAAATTTGTTTGTAAAACAGACAAACACCATTCTTAATGCTTCACTTCGTCCCTCATTTTGTAAAAATCATGCTTAGTGTATTAGGTTTAAGAATCAGGGATGTTAATGGTTTAAAATGCATCTCAGGGCCGTGAGACTCAGAGGATGTGTGTGTGTGTGTTGTTTGTTGTGTCATGTATGTCAAACCTCTTCCATGTACTCGGGCTCGTTGGCGGAGGCATCCCAGCGGTTGTTCAGGATGAAGATATTAGGGCTGGAGAGGCGCTCGTTCACTTTGTGAAAGAATGACTTTTCCTTTGAGAGGGTAGAGGAGAGGCATGTTTTAATAAGCTGACACCAGTGAGGTCACAGGACGATCAAGCACTTACCTCACAAGTGCTGGAGAAAAATAGAAGACAATCATGCTTAACAAGTAAAGTTGATCAAGTTTTATGCACACGTGAAAATCATAATGCTGTAATATATAGCAAATTCTATGTAAGCTTTTTTTTCACAAGCTGAAGTTCATTTTAAACTCACTGTTTGCATTAAAGTGGACTCTGAATTGGCCACCAGCACAAAAACGTCAGCATCAAGGCAGAATTTGTCAATCCAGCTGTCCAACTCTGTTGTGACATCAATGCCAGGGCTTCAAAAGGAAGATTTTATAAGTTTCCAAATGAAAAATACAACTAATATGACTTCTAATGCAGTAAGCTTATAATGCCATTACATCATTTTAACGGGGTCATATGTTGCTAAAAATAACATTATTTTGTGTATTTGGTGTAATGAAATGTTTATGCGGTTTAAGGTAAAAAAAAAAAACACACATTATTTTCCACATACTGTACTTTGTTTCTCCTCTATGCCCCGCCTTTCTGAAATGTGTCGATTTTTACAAAGCTCATCGTTCTGAAAAGCGAGGTGTGATTGGCCAGCTATCCAGTGCGTTGTGATTGGCCGAATACCTCAAGCGTGTGACGGAAATGTTACGCCCCTTACCATACTGTGATGCCCTGTCCTGGAGCGATGAGACAAAAACATTAAAACCCATTATAAACGAGGCATTTGTTGTATCCAGTGGGGACATAATTACGGATTATAATGACTTATACTGTCTTTTTAAGTGTTGCGTTGCATCGTGCTGCGTAAACATAAAACCATGTCTGCATTTGTGATTGGAGAAATGACAAACAACAAGTGCTACTCTACACTGCTCAAAACTCGCGTTTGAATCATCAGTGGCAAATTCTTTAAATATAAAAAAACGTACTTACAGTCTGTGAGTCAGAACAGCCGGCATTGTAGTCTACTCTACCAGGATCAGGAAACAGTCCTCCATAAAATGTGCTGCACATCTGAATATTTGGGTTGAACTGTTCTGGAACAGTGTTGTAAATACAACTTAACCACTGATTTCTAGTCGTGTCCTCTTTTGGAAGGCCAAACAAGTAGTTTCTCTTTCACAACGAAACACAGCGTCACACATGGCGGCAGCAACAATACTACAGCGAGAATAAAAGTTACGCCTTCTGTCTTTGCGTCAACATTTGGGCGGTGTTATGCAAATCTTCCCACATCGTGATGTAGACATGTGGGGGCGTGTTAGAACGAGCCGTTTTAGGAGGGCGTGGCTGACTCTTAACTTTTATAAAGAATATCTCTTTGGATTTGAGACTTTAGTCTTTGCAACTTTACAGATCTTCTTTATGCACCAAGAGCTTGTAACACTCCAAAGAGAAAGGAACAATTGAAAATCGCATCATATGACCCCTTTAATATTAAATACAGTATCTAGGCAAGCAAAATATCATAATATATATAAAAATCTAATAAAAATAAACAAAAAATGCATGTGAACAAAGTTTCACATGTGTAGAATTTATAGATCTGTGAATTAAAACAGACAACGTATTGAATGCAATGGTAAAGGACTGTCAATATTTCCTAATAGTGCGGCCTCACAGCCAGACAACACGAGTGTGTGTTTACCTGTCCACAAGCACCAGGTCATCCCGCAGCAGCGCACACTTTGCTTTAGGCCACATGACACACACCAGACTGCCTGCGTCCAAATCCTCATCCTGATGTAAGGCATGGGCCAACTGGTTCACTGTCTGCCAACACGCACACACGAGTTCAAACATTAGCATTTAAGTACTTTTAACCAGATTATTTTAAAAGTAGAAAAAACAAAAAGTGGATCCCATTGCAAGAACCAGGCACTCACATAGCAGGCAAAATATAAAAAGCCTTTATTGTAAGACTACATGTTAAAAAACACCAACGCGTATCAGCCCAAACAGGCCTTCGTCAGTATTTTAAAAGTAGATTACCCGAGTCTTATCATGGAAAACATTGCTTTCCTTTTTTATAATCAGAGTTAAAAATAATAACAGTAATAATAATAACTGTTGTATATTGTAGTTCAAATTGCAATGTATGCCAAATAATTCACAACACTATCATTTTTGGCCTTGTTGTGCAGCCCTATATTTAAATCATTTTAAATTTCAAAAATAAAAAGTTTTATTTTGATTGTTTTCATTTTAAAAATGCTACAAAACTACAAAAAAAGTTTTTTTGAATTTGTTTGTTTGCATGCAATGTGACCATTAACTTCCATCAGAGAAGCGTCATCATGCGAAAGTGCCATTCAATTATTGAAATATTAACTTAAAATCTCACGGGGCTTTGGGTGAAAATGTTTGGGAGCCCCTGACATAACCTGCTTTCTGTCTTTTCATGGAAAACATTTATTTATTTTTATTTCACATTTGTAGGTGCGAGATTTTCCATCTAAAAGGCTTGAACTGCTGGACACCTAAATATCCATGATTGCAGGCACACACCAGAGAGTAAAGAATCAAAAGTAATAAACCTGCAGAGGAAACCATATGACCTTTGGCCCACTCTCGGGAATGGCGTGCATTTGTTTATGTCATCATGGAGTGCACATGCAGACAGGCAGGACGGAAATGGCCTCTTTTAGACAGAGAGAGACGCTGGGAAAAGCATCAAAATAGCTGTGTCCCCACATCCTGATGAGTGCACACACATTCACAAGCGTCTATCAGCCAGCTGCTCTGTTCACATTATCTGTAGGATATATCTAGCTGCTGACCATTGTTCTGTGTGTATGCAAGTCATCATAAGCCAGATAGTACCGCAGACAAATCCCAGACGTCACAACAGAACACCTGGCACTGCAAGGGCATTTACACCATTAGCAATGTTTCTGTTTTTCCACTATATCAACCTGTAAATGCTGTGCTTCTTTCATTGGTCTCAGTTGTAAATGTTTAGATGCAAGAAATAAATACAACTTAAATGATATTTTTGTATTTTCATGGTAAGTACAGTTTTACGCTCTTTCCCAGCATTCCTCTACAGCAGGCATGTGCTCTTACGTGTAGCATGTACATGTTTTCTCAGTCTGTAATATATCAATGCAGAGGAAAGGTCACGAGACAAGTCCTAAATGACAAAAACTGGTAGGAAAAAGCTCAAGTACAGTCAGCCAAGATCCTGAGAAGTTCATTTAGCAGATGCAAATAGACAACAAAACTGTTTGCCTTATTGCTTGTCACTGACATTATCTGCTCAATATTTACCATTTTGAAAACACTGTATGAACAAACAAAAACAAAAAGATACACAATATATCAATGACAGTATCAGTATTTACTGAAAGAGGTCTATTTACATTTCTATTTTCATTTATTTAACTGACTGTACACACTAACTCTGTTCCAAAACCTAGTAAGCTGCAACTCAGAATAAGAGACTTTTATGAATTGATCTATAGAGTTCATATAAAAGTTCTTATATCAATATTTGTACAACCATCAACAACAGTCTACAAATGCGGTCACGCAAGCGATATTTCAGCAAAATTTCACAGGCAAAAAGGTCCGATGTCAATAGCATAGCGATGCATGAAGCACAGTTCACACGGCAGTCAGTTTCAGGCCAACTTTCTGTTGGTCAGCCTGGTGAAATCATGTGACCAACTTAAACATGAGCAAAATCTGCGTGAACGTTTTCGCCCTGACTCCTGAACGCTGAAACTCCAATCTGGGATTGCCTTTGTAATCTGGGACACGCTGCTTTTGTAGACAGCTCACAACGTTTTGGAAAAGAGCAGTCATCATTACAACACACGGCCTCAATTTTGGTCGGTGTGTTCCTGAAATCTGTAGGAACAAGGTGTAGCTCTACAGTGTGTCTCCTCTCATGTCAGACTAAAGAGATTACACACCCTCTTTAGCACCTTAGGTGAGCAAAGCTCATTTATGGTTGCTATAGAGAGTTACACAAGAGGCCAATTTCCATTCCCAACTCCCATAGCACGGGTCTTATCTGACTCAACATGTCAGACACACCCAAACGCTCAAACGAAAGACAGCATCTTCTAAAATCACTCAGGAATGCCGTTATGACAATTAAGCAGGTAGAGAGCATTTACTTTAACACTCTTTCTTTCATCCGATCCCTCGGTGAGCAGGAAAGCCTCATTGCCATCGGTGCCTTCCACTCGTAGGAAGCAGTTGGTGGTGTGTCCGATTCCAGACGGCAGCACTTTGTCCCAGAGCATGGCGTTAATGACGGAGCTCTTCCCGTTACTTGTCCTGTTAACACAAAAATTGTGACTTAATCACAAATGATACCCAGCATTCACATAAAAACAATGAATTCAAACTTTGCGCTAAGGCTGTGAAAGACGATGTGCATGCACTATACCTGCCAAAGAAGACCACCTTCATGTGTCTGCGGGACAGGACCTCCCCGATCCCTGCCACTTTGGACAGGTATCCTCGCACCTCCGCCACCTGCTCCTCTGTAGTGACAGGATCCAGTTCCTCATTGCTGTAGGTTTCTGTCAAGAAAACAGACCAGTTCAACAACACTTGACGGTTCAAGTACTTCAACAACATTTGCAACTTCAAAATGCCTTGAGAGTCAAAAGTAAAGGACGCCACCATGATTACATCAATCTCAGTGATTAGCAGGGCATTGCTATTCAGTTGCTAAGCTGTTTTGGGTGAATGCTAGGTGATTGCTTATTGGTCCAAATCAAAAGAGCCAACGCTCAAGTCTCTATGATATTCATTCACAAAACATACTTGAGAGAGTAAAACTCTTCTTAACTGCTGTTTTATATTTACGTAACCTCCAACTTGTTAAAATTAAAATTGTAATGCACCTCCCGTCATATAATCACATTAAAAAACATGAAAAATCTTACTGTTCAAAAACTTTTGACTGGTAGTGTATGGACCTATTTGAATGCAAACTTTGGAAGCTTTGGCAATTTTTGCTAAAATATGACTGACCTAAAATAAACCTAACATGAGAGCAAAATCCTTTAAGTAAAATGCTGTGAGCTTATGAGCTGCCAGGGTAGATTTGTAAGACCTTGCCTAAAGAACACCTAAGATGTTCACAGAAAAAAGCCTTACACGCATAGACACGCTGACTAAGCCATGCTTTTCCCTGAGCCTTCAGCTGTTTCGTAACCTGTCTTTGCTATCTGAGCTATGCTAGTCAGCATCAACCAGGTTCCTCTTATCAGCTTGACAGGTGAACAGCACGCAGCGGTGTGCTTTAAGCTCCTGAGACGAGGAGTGGAACAAAGTCACGAAAGCAGACACCTTCTAGAAAGGCTGAGCTTTCTTTGATGTAGGCGCCCAGCTGTTCAAAGATGCCGTTGATCTTCTTCTTGGCGGTGACGAAGTGTTTGAGCGGGGAGGCGTTCACCTCGGCCATGAGTCGCTTGTCCTTCTTGCCGATCACACTGGTATTGGGTCGCGGGAAAACCAGAGACATCTCACTAGAAAAAGACAGATGGAGATAAGTCAACAACAAAACACACAACCACAAAGCAGTTTTGATTCAAAGATTCTTCCAAACCCCAAACGCAAGAGTACTGTCTGTAAGCAAGCACAAAAGTCTAATAAAACTTTAACTGAATACCGTCTGATTGCATTACTTAAACGTAGGGCTGGACAATAATTCAATATCAATATGTATCGCGATATAATTTTTTTCATCAACGTTGATATGATTTTTAAACACATTTCCGATATACATTACCAGTGTTTCCCATACATTGGTTTATTTGTGGCGTTTGATTTCATTGAATAAACATGAGCACTGCACGTTTCAAAATCAAAACGCGGCGCGGGTGTTTTATATGAATGTATCTCTGAAGGGAACCAACTGTCTTCAGAAAAGTTTCTATGGCATTTTCATTTTTATCTGATAAAGTAGCGTTCATGAGCGGAGCTGATTTGATTACAGCCATTACTGGGGAAACCGCTAGTTTTTTCACTCCAAAAGCGCCTCCTGCTGGCAGACAATCAGTTTGCATTTTCAATAATAAGCCTATCTCCAGCAACATGTTTTTGTTGTTGCTCAAATTTTTAGTTTCCTGCAGCAACTCTGAGCACTTTTCATACCCTTTTTTTTTCTGGCTGAAGCACATTTGTTTCAATCTATAAGTATAATCCGCCTACACTATCATTCAAAAGTTTTTGAACTGTGAGATATTTTTTTTTTTTTTACCAAGGTTGCATTTATTTGATCCAAAGAACAGCTAAAACAGTAAAACTTTGAAATATTTGTACTATTTAAAATTGATTTCTATTTGAATAGATTTAAAAATTTAATTTATTCCTGTGATAAAGGCTGAATTTTCAGCATCCGCCTACACTATCATTCAAAAGTTTTTGAACTGTGAGATATATTTTTTTTTTTTACCAAGGTTGCATTTATTTGATCCAAAGAACAGCTAAAACAGTAAAACTTTGAAATATTTGTACTATTTAAAATTGATTTCTATTTGAATAGATTTAAAAATTTAATTTATTCCTGTGATAAAGGCTGAATTTTCAGCATCATTACTCCAGTCTTCAGTGTCACATGATCCAGAAATCATTCTAATATGATGATTTGCTGATTATCAATATTTAAAACAGTTGTGTAAAACATTTTTCAGAATTCTTTGATGAATAGAAAGATCCAAAGATCAGCATTTATCTGAAATAAAAAGCTTTTGTAACATAGACTATTCCATTCAAAAGCTTGGAGTCAGTATCATTTTTATAATTTTTTTGGGAAAGAAATTATAGAAATTAATACTTCTATTTAGCAAGGATGCATAAAAGTGATCAAAAGAGATGATAAAGGCATTTATAATGTTATTTCTATCTCAGATAAATAGTGTTCATATCGATATTGAAATTATATCGTATCGACCGAAATATATCGTGATATAAATTTTGGCCATATCGTCCAGCCCTACTTAAACGTATTAAAATGATTAATTAAACATTAAATATTTATAATGCTATATATCAAAATGGTTAAGTTTTTCTGTCTAATAAACTATTACACGGAAATACTAAAAGAATGTAATACTTTCTCATATACCATCGGCATTCTGCTAGAGTTTGAACATCTATTAAAATTATTAATAGTGATTTCTTCTAATTGAGTAAATATGTAAATAAATATAAATTTAATTGCAACTAATTTTAAGCATGTTACATACTATAACAGTGTGATATATCACATATATAAGCTTCATATCACCCTGCTCTCCAAGACATCGCCAATCAAAAATCTATATCGACCGTTGAGTAAAAACAATGTGCATTTCAAATTCTAAATGACAGCATTTAAGGACATCTAATCTCCAATGTGCTGTTGCATTCAGTTTCGACTGGCATCAAATCAACAAACGACCCACTAGAAGTTTCCTTGTTGGGAGCTGGAGGGTTTAAAGTTCCCAAATTCTAGCCATTTACAAGACATGTCTTGCAAATGAACAAGAAATACACAACACAAACACTTGCAAACCCTCTTTCTCAAACGCAAACACAACACACCTTGAGAACTGCTCTGAAAAACCTTCAGCTATGTTGTCGTCTAACTGGATTGCTCAGAGCTATTGTTAAGTCCCATGTGTTGATGGGAAATGCTGCGTCGCCCAAAAGTACCGAGTGTCAACACCACATAACGCACAAGCTGTTCAAAATATGCTTACTAAAGTTTCTAGATGAGTTTGTGTGTTAGCCGAACCAAAAGGGGATTGCCTTCCCTTACTGAAATCTGACATTATTGCAATTCGTTATACAGTGATGAACAATCAATTTAAACCATTCCCCTAACTGACCATTCGTTAGCACCTGCCTTCAAAACATTACTGACCAATCACGCTTTAGTCTGTTTGTCCTGCTTGAGGACAATGGACTGACACCTTTAAGAATATATTATTAATATAATGTAGTGGTCCATCGATATGGATTTTTTGATGACGATGTTGATGCTGAGATCTTAAGTGGCTGATATCAAACCAATATATAGGGTTGGGTACTGTTCACATTTTAACCGATATGGTACCGGTATCGGTACCTGAATTTTGGTGCTGGTACCCAACGGTACCTTTTTTTAGTACTTTACTCTCTGTGTAATTACAAAAACATTTATTTCAGTGAAAAAATAAGTCCAAAAGTCTCAATTTCAACATTTTGAACAATAGGGCCCTACAAACTTTTTCTTTGTTTTTTCCACCTCAGAAATTCTTGTTTTAATTTTTCTGAAATTCAAATGAAGGCATTAAACATTTATTTTAAATCAAATTAAAATTAAAGGAAGAAAAATATTCCTTTAAAACATTTTTAATAGGCTAATAATTTTATTTTTTTTCTACAATTAAGTGATTAATCTGGTTGTAAAATTATTTTTTTTCATTTAATTGTTTTATTTAAATTTGATAGAAAACTGAATATTTAAAGATGTACATTATACTGTACAAAAGTAATATATTTCGGTTACATGTTAAACCGTACTTTTATTTTGACAGGTTGCCATGAAGTTTCTGTGTGTATGATGATGCTAGTTTTCTCTAATGAAACGGTAAAATTCTCACGAAGTGACTCACAGCAGCTCTGGGGAATACGTTTTTGTGTTCATGCCGTCATATAGTGAGACGCAGAGGCCAGAAATCAGCGCGAGCGTCACGCGTGCTTCAGTATTTGTGTAGTAAACAAAACCGCGTTTCCGCCATTCATACATACAGAGGCAAGCGGAACATGCAGGACTCATATTTAAACCGTCTTTTTGTATTTTAATATTCACAGACACTAGTTCATATCACGATTCGAATTAAGTGGCAGTGGCTACTTTAGATTTATTCGTCCAACATTGTAGAATTCCGTGGCATTCCGCGCTATAGAGTAAATTATGTTTTTATGTATGGACTCGCATGGGTTTTCGCAGAAACCATATGGCCCTAGAAATGTAACCACACTTCACAACATTTCGGCTTGCCCTGTGTTGTTTGAACGAGTTGCAGGGGTGACCTCACGTCTCTCGTTTTCCGGTACCGAAATTTGGCACCGATTGATTTAACGTGAATCGGTACTCGGTAGTATCGATGCAATTCGGTTGGTACCCTTAAAAGTACCGAGTTCGGTACCCAACCCTACCAATATATATTACACTATTTAAAGATATTAAACAATGCATGCATAACTATTTCTGCAATGAAGCTTATATTAATTCTGAATAACATATACTATAATCATTATAAAAGAAAAAAAAATTATTAATCAATTTGAACTTAATAATAAAAAATACCTTCTTGATTCTGTAATCCATCCTATTATGTTATTTTTTCCACAAATAAAGATTGTTAAAACATGAAGTAGCCAGTAACCAACAGTGCACCCACTAAACTTGTGTGCAATGGGAATCATATTTTTCATTAGGGGAAGTCGTGGCCTAATGGTTAGAGAGTTGGACTCATAACCCAAAGGTTGTGGGTTCGAGTCTCGTACCGGCAGGGATTGCACCTTCAATACCACGACTGAGGGGCCCTTGAGCAAGGCACCGAACCCCCAACTGCTCCCCGGGCGCCGCAGCAAAAAAATGGCTGCCCACTGCTCCGGGTGTGTGTTCACGGTGTGTGTGTGCACTTTGGATGGGTTAAATGCAGAGCACTAATTCCACACACTCTCACACACACACTCACACACACACACGCACTACACGGTCAACTTCAACAACAAAATGCAGCTTTGGTTACTTCAGAAAACACACACACACACACACACACACACGCACCTGTTAAAGCAGGAATAAAAACACAGGTTACTAATGAAGCAATACAGTCTTGACAATGCGTGTAGGAGCTCCTGCAAAATAGTGCGGGTCAAATAAGCCCCATCAGCTGCCCAGCATTTGATTTCCAATGAGCGCTCGCCTACACTGATCGCGGTAAGCTCAAAGCAGAGTCTTGATCAAATTAAATCATAAGTGTATAACCCACAACATACACTAATAGCAGAGTCACGACTTCCACGAGACCGATGTGACCGCGCGCGGCTCTGACGCACTGCTCTCTAGGCAACGCCGTAATCACGTGACTGGATTGCGCATTCAACAAGCCTGAATACGTAAAATATCAAATAGAGTATACTAATAATAATACTATAAACTATATATTATTACATTCATAGCGTAGCATAATAAAATACAATAATATCAACATATTTCAGTCGTTTTTCTAGCATCAAGCGCACGACCTCAACCACAAAACCCCGCCCCCTACGACATGTCAGCCAATCCCATGCGAGTATGAAGAATGCGCACAATGATGGACAAGGGACGCGCGATTCTGATTGGTTAAAATAGAAAAAGCGCCCCGCCCCTTGACTCTTTCTTGCTGTACTTGCTGTCATAAAGTAAATAGAGAATCTTTTATAATATCTATGTATGATTTATATATATATATATATATAAACTGGATCAGACAGACTAGACTAGGCTAGTCTAACGTAAATGATGTAATCCTACTATCACCTTTCACTTATCTAACGTTAAAAACGATGCCTAAGAACCTGAAGGAGGCAGGGTTAAATTGTACCCCTGACATGCACAGCTAGTTTCATATTTATGATTGGATATTTTATAATCAGATATGTTTACCAGCAAGGGCGGAGTGGTTATATCTTATAACCGCCCTGAAGCATGTTGACCCAGCGATGTCGCCGTAATAAACTCCCAAAACCCTCTTCTGGAAGAGCAGCTTTCTCCGAAGACAGCTGGCGAAGACCCGGAATAACAACGAAGTAAATGTCCACGCACTGTTAGGCGGTTACTCGGTCGCCATCACTGCTCGCTCCTTCTTCTTCTTCTTCTTCTTCTGCTGCTGCTGCTTCTTCTTCTTCTTCTTCTTCTTCTTCTTCTTCTTCTTCTTCTTCTTCTTCTTCTTCTTCTTCTTCTTCTTCTTCTTCTTCTTCTTCTTCTTCTTCTTCTTCTTCTTCTTCTTCTTCTTCTTCTTCTTCTTCTTCTTCTTCTTCTTCTTCTTCTTCTGCTGCTGCTGCTGCTGCTGCTGCTTCTTCTTCTTCTTCTTCGGTTTAATGGCGGGTAGCACCAGTGTTAAGGTGCATCATCCACCTACTGTATTGGAGTGTGAACCAGAGTTTCATAATAAGAGGACAACAAAAAATACTAAATAAAATAAAAACATGTTTACTTCTTTACCTCAAGAAGATTTTTCCCACTAAATTCTCTTAATCAGCTCTAATGTTCTCTTAAGATACAAAAATAAACTTTCTAGTCCGTAAGTAAATCCACTCCCATCTTTCTAAATTCATTCTTCATTGTTTCTCGTTCATTAGTATACTTTTCAAGAAGATTTTTCCCACTAAATTCTCTTAATCAGCTCTGTTCTCTTAAGATACACAAATAAACGTTCTAGTCCAGAAGTAAATGTATTTTTAAGCTTTAGGTTATCCACTCCCATCTTTCTAAGTTCATTCTTCATTCGTTCATTAGTCTACTTTTGACAAACACAAATAACACGTTCTACTGATTCCTCCATTCCACAGTGCTCACACAATCCTGCTGGAGGTTTATTTATTATTGTTAAGGTTTTATTCAGCACAGTATGCCCAACCCTTAATCTTGTTAGAATATTTTCCTCTTTGGTGCTTCTTTTAGTTATTCTCACGACTCCTACTTCTCGCTGTATTTCATAAAGTTCACGTCCTGTATTTATGTTGCCACTCCTTAGTGGTATACGCTTTAATTACTGCTTTTGCTTCATATTTACTAAGTGAGATATTCACGATCTCCTCGTTTTCCAAAGCCTGCTTTGCTAATCCATCAACCTTTTCATTACCCTTTATCCCCCCATGAGCTGGTATCCACATAAATATTATCATGATGTTCATATTCTTCATATATCTCATTTACTATATCCTGTCTACTATGAGATGTGAACGATTGCAATGACTTTAATGCCGAACATGAATCTGTACAAAGTATAACCTTTTTGATTTGAGTCTCCTCTATTCACTGTAGTGCTGTTGCTATTGCCATCATCTCTACTGTGATTACTGGTCGCTCCTACACTCTAAAAAATGCTGGGTTAAATAACCCAGTGCTGGATAAAATAGGGACAAACCCAGCAATTGGGTTGTTTTGGCCTGGGTCAAAACAACCCAATTGCTGGGTTCCCTGTTGAAAAAACCAACATATGCTGGTTAGGTATGTTTTGATGCTGGGATGCTGGTCCTTTGCTGGTTTAAACTGGTCCTTTGCTGGTTTAAGCTGGTCCTTTGCTGGTTTATGCTGGTCCTTTTGCTGTTTTATGCTGGTCATGTGCTGGCAAAGGACCAGCATAAACCAGCAAAGGACCAGCTTAAACCAGCAAAGGACCAGTTTAAACCAGCAAAGGACCAGCATCCCAGCATCAAAACATACCTAACCAGCATATGTTGGTTTTTTCAACAGGGAACCCAGCAATTGGGTTGTTTTGACCCAGGCCAAAACAACCCAATTGCATAAAGTTCACGTCCTGTATTTATGTTGCCACTCCTTAGTGGTATACGCTTTAATTACTGCTTTTGCTTCATATTTACTAAGTGAGATATTCACGATCTCCTCGTTTTCCAAAGCCTGCTTTGCTAATCCATCAACCTTTTCATTACCCTTTATCCCCCCATGAGCTGGTATCCACATAAATATTATCATGATGTTCATATTCTTCATATATCTCATTTACTATATCCTGTCTACTATGAGATGTGAACGATTGCAATGACTTTAATGCCGAACATGAATCTGTACAAAGTATAACCTTTTTGATTTGAGTCTCCTCTATTCACTGTAGTGCTGTTGCTATTGCCATCATCTCTACTGTGATTACTGGTCGCTCCTACACTCTAAAAAATGCTGGGTTAAATAACCCAGTGCTGGATAAAATAGGGACAAACCCAGCAATTGGGTTGTTTTGGCCTGGGTCAAAACAACCCAATTGCTGGGTTCCCTGTTGAAAAAACCAACATATGCTGGTTAGGTATGTTTTGATGCTGGGATGCTGGTCCTTTGCTGGTTTAAACTGGTCTAAGCTGGTCCTTTGCTGGTTTATGCTGGTCCTTTGCTGGTTTATGCTGGTCCTTTGCTGGTTTATGCTGGTCCTTTGCTGGTTTATGCTGGTCCTTTGCTGGTTTATGCTGGTCCTTTGCTGGTTTATGCTGGTCCTTTGCTGGTTTATGCTGGTCCTTTGCTGGTTTATGCTGGTCCTTTGCTGGTTTATGCTGGTCCTTTGCTGGTTTATGCTGGTAATCGAAGCGCAACGGTTTTTGTTTGACAAAAGAACTCCTTCAGTCTTCAAGGACGTTGAAGATATGATACGAGTCATTCATATTTTAGGACGTTTTTTGCGTGTGTGTGAAATCTGTCTGTTAAAGCTAGGATTTGTACATGACATACAACCAGAAATCCACCGCACACATTCTTGAATTTTAATATTTAATATTGACAGTGTCAATAATCAGTGTTGGGGAGTAACTAGTTACACGTAACGGCGATATGTAATTTAATTACAAAATAAATGTAACTGCAATCAGTTACAGTTACTAAGAAAAAATGTGTAATTAAATTACAGTTACTTATGAAAATGTTAACGATTACAAAGGGGATTGCATTTGAATATTTACGCACATCCACATACAGATTTAATTGATTTCTTTCCCAAATTGCACTGATTACGCTGAGACATACGGCCCTATAATAACCGCGATGAGGAAAACACAGACTGCTTCGTAGAATCCAGTCATAAAAACAGAAGTCCTAATATAGCCTAACGCGGACCGAATATGCCACATTTTGGACGAATAAATCAAAAATAGTTCAGTACACTTGAATCAAAATGCGATATGGACTAGTAGTGTCTGTGAATATTAAGCCGCAAAAAGACAATATATGAATCCTGCACGTTCTGCGTGTCTGTGGAAATCAGGCCATCGGGAGAACCGGGACAATTCACAGCATCTATTTAAATATTATTATTGTATAATTGCCTGCCGGATGTACTAAAGCGATTATTTCCGAATTCGCCATTCGATAATTAAATCTCTAATAAATCATGAATCGGTTAGTCGTGACTGGCCATGCTTGGCCAAACGGTTTGGATCAGAGTAATCAATGCGAGAGAGAGAGAGAATGGAGAGGCAGTGTTGCCAACTAGTTTTCAGGGGAAGTTGCTAGAGGAAGGTCGATTTGTTGCTAAATGACGTTGTGACGTTGTGACGTCATTACGTAATCACGACGCAAAAATTGTCACTACATCAAATCTCAGTAAAAAATATATTTGTATATGTTAATTTAGATTTGTTCGTAAAATAATATAAATGCATAATATGTTACAATATAAATAACTTTTTATATACAACATAGAATTATTGAACGAACACTTACACATTTTTACACGTTTTTTTTTCTGAGCAATTAGTTTTAAGCAGTGTATTAGTAGTCAGTATGCTACACTTTAAGAAAAGAATTCACAGGTTTTTATCGGCATTTTAAATTAAGTATTTTGTGTTTCGGGTTAAAGGGTTTACAATGGATAATGGATGACGGATAATGTCCTGGAAAAATACTAGAAGCCTACCTCTTGCATTTTTCTAGATATTCTTCTTACAGTGTACTAACTGATCAACAAACACAGGTACAACAAGGTGTATCATAAATGAACAATTATTACATTATTATTATCAAATTGAACAATTGCAAATACCGGTAGCAATAATTTAATTCACGTGATGTTTGTACTGCTAGGCATCTTTGGTTTCCTCTTTTTGTGACATTTAGATTCACAAAACGTTTAGTTTGAGTCACTTATCAAAAGTTGCTAAAAGTAGCCAAATAAAATGTTGAAATAGCTACATTTGTTGCTAGGTGCTTTTGGAAGAAAAAGTTGCGAGGGTAATCTGAAAAGTAGCTAAATTTAGCAACAAAATTGCTAAATTGGCAACACTGTGGAGAGGACTGTGGAAGCGAAACTACTATTCAGGGTTTCAAGTGCAGGTCAGTTTCAGCTGTAAATATGCTATTGTAGTTTTGTCTTCGTTTACTTCGTTAAGCAGCAGCAGCCCATTGCTCATCAGTCATCACTCAAAATACTGTATAAAGGACATCATTATTATCTATTGTAATGTTACAGTAGTCATTTCACATATCACCCTGTAGCCCAAGACTGATTACACACTGAAGCTAAGCAGGGCTGAGCCTGGTCAGTACCAGGATAGGAGACCTCCTGGGAAAACTAGGTTGGTGCTGGAAGAGGTGTTAGTGAGGCCAGCAGGGGGTGTTCACCCTGTGGTATGTGTGGGTCCTAACGCACCAGTGTAGTGATGGGGACACTATACTGTCAACAAGCACCGTCCTTCGGATGAGACGTTAAACCGAGGTCCTGACTCTCTGTGGTCATTAAAAATCCCAGGATGTCTTTCGAAAAGTGTAGAGGTGTGACCTCAGCATCCTGGCTAAATTTGCCCATTGGCCTCTGACCATCATGGCCTCCTAACAATCCCCATATCTACTGATTGGCTTCATCACTCTGTCTCCTCTCCACCAATAAGCTGGTGTTTGGTGGGCGTTCTGGCGCACTATGGCTGCCGTCGCATCCTCCAGGTGGATGCTGCACACTGGTGGTGGATGAGGAGATACCCCCTGACAATGTAAAGCGCTTTGAGTGCCTAGAAAAGCGCTATATAAATGTAATGAATTATTATTATTATTATTATTATTATTTAGCAGACAAATAATCATATTGTATAATAGGTTTAGGGGGAGCTAGTGCAGACAATAACACAACCCTTACGAAAATTAACAATGATTTTATTAAAAATAAAACCACATGGTTACTGTACTCTCACAATAATAAAAGCATGGTTAATTTTTGTAAGAAAAAAAAAAAACATGACTCGTGTTCAGTATTAGGATTTTTCTATAAAGATATTGTGGTGATGTACTAATTTAGACATGTAGGCAATTTAGAAAGTATAGTTTTGTTAAAGCTTGAGTATTAAAGTCATGTGAGAGATAGATATCAGGGCAAAATAAAGAGACTGAAAAGAAAAATGGAAGTGAAGGTGCAGTTCAGGAGAGAACTTTTAATTATTTTGCATGTCCCCAACCTAAGGATTTAAACCTTTTTTATGTGAGGTTCATACTAAAAATAGGGTTGTCCATGTTTCAGAATTTGTTATGGGTGTATGAGTGAGATTTCCTGGCCTGAAATTTTTCTCCCAGTCCGCCCCTCGTGGAAATGAATGGCGCAGACATGCGGTTTCATTTACTACACATGGGCCTACTGAAGCTCGCGGTGTTTTCAGCCTCAGTATATGAGCACATGAACACATAAACATAATCTCTAGAACTGCTCTGAGTCACTTCATGAGCATTTTACTTATTTTGAGAAAACTATCGTCATATCATATACTTCAGTGTTAGATGCAGTGTGTCCTGTAGTTATGCAAAGATTTGGTTTCAAAAACAGTATCAGTAAACTATTTCTTATGATTTTAAATCTGCATTGAACTTCAGATCAATCTCAAAGTAAAAGGCGGTACTAAAGTCTGATTTTGTGGTGGATGTGTTCGAATTTGATCATCTTTATTCAAGTGATGAAGGATTGTGAAAGGCTGACAGTGTTGAGCACTACTGTAAGGTTAACCCTGCATGGTGTAAATGCTTGAAAATGATTAACAGTTGCAAATAAACTTTCATTAGAAATTTAGAAAAGTAATCACAAGTAATCCGTTAGATTACTTTAATAAAGTAATTGAAAAAGTTACACTACTATTACAGTACATTTTAAATTGGGTAACTTGTAATCTGTATCCTATTACATTTCCAAAGTAACCTTCCCGACACTGTCATTATTCAGAGCTGGGTAGTAACTGATTGCATGTAATCTGGATTACGTAATCAGACAGATTCCAAAAATTAAGTACTTTGTAATTAGATTCAATTACATTTTAAAATACTCGTAATCACACTACAGTTATTTTTATGGAATACATGATTACATATTATTCACACAATAGCAATAAATTATTCATAATTTTTTTATTTTCCCTAATTCCTCTTTTTCATCTTATGTTTTTTTTCTAAAATACTGCTTATATACATTCAAAAAGTCTTCCAGTTTTGTGGAAGGCACAGCATTTGACCACTGGATTTGCATCAACGATAAACACAATTTTTATTTGAATTATACGTATTTAACCATGTAGCCTATGTCTTTGTAAGGTTTTTGTCTTTCAAACACATTAAAATGCACAAATTCACAAACTTTTTTTCGTCATTTGATCTTCTTTCACCTAATAGATTTACTTGAAGTTCCCCTGAGATTTTAAAATATTTTAATAATAAAGTATCGCATTTGCTTGTTCACGGTTGTCTGGTGTTGGTTATGGTCACGTGACGTGCAGGCAAACAAATAAAATATTTCTTTTTTTTATTATTTGTTTTATTTAAAAATGATTTATTTTCACATTTTTATGATGTAATTAGGCTAAGCATTAGCTTTTCATTAAACTCACGAACCTCCTGCAGTTCCTTCACAAACTCGTTTGCTAAACCTTGACGTAATGTAATGTTTAGTATGCTTCATGTTGTTAATAACAATGAATGGAATATATTTTCTTCAAATTTGTATTTTTATATCAATATGGTACAGTATTATACTATTAAAAACAATGTGATAACCGATTTAGGTCAAAAGTAATCAAAAACTAGTCTGATTATATTACCTAAAATGTGTAATGTAATGGATTACGTTACTAACTTCAATTTTTGTCATGCAATTTGGAATCAGTAACGCATTACAATTTGTAAATAATCTACCCAGCTCTGACAATATTCTTAGTAATTAAAACTGTGAACAGTGAAAAGTCACAGGTAGCACGTGACTATGTAACGTATAGATTTACATTTTCTAAAATAACACTCAGAAACATATTAAAGATTAATGTAGAAACGTTAACAGTTCTTTTATTTTAATTATACACTAAAAGTGAAACAAAAACTCCTAATTTAGACTCACTGTACTTGACCAATGAAACTTTCAGGGTACCAAGGCCTGACGTTTTGCCAGAAGCTCCCAAGAAAGTGAATATGTTGTTATGCTACATTGATTTCCCCCCCTAAATCAGTAAATGCATGGATTATGGTAAGGATTCAGTTTCATAAGAGAGCTAAAAACTTATTTTCAGATGATAAATTAAAGAACTCTGCTTTGAAAAAAAAAGTCAAATGGCAGACAACACAGGTACTACTGCTTCTTTTGTGAATACAGGTTATTCCATTTTTGGGTGACATAATAATTATATACCTTTAACCATTACAATTGTTCTCTTCTTTCTTCTTCCAAAACTCATGACATGACCGATCCATAAACAAAAAATCTCTTAACTAGCAATATTAAGCAGTAAGAAAACAAACCATATGTCAGACTCTTTTCAAACAGCAGTACCAATTGCTTGAGGGGCATCAATAAAGAAAACAACTCAATAAACCTGTGAATGTCAAACAAGGACAGATCCATTATTGAAACACATCCACATCATCTGTATGGAATAATCCCTTCAATACATGACAATAAATAAACGAGTGAAATGTCATTGCATATAAGTGACATATCGCATTGTGATCTGTCAAACTACTTTCGACATTCATCGATCGTTATCAAAAGATGCTTTTACATAACAAAACATATGGAACATATATATATACACTGGCATATTCACAATGTAAGGCACTGTGTCAACATATTCTTGTTTATTATTTGATTATTCAGTGTTTCTCAACCCTGGTCCTGGGCGCCCCCCAGCACTGCACATTTTGTGTGTCTCCCTAATCAAACACACCTAAGAACTCATTAGCTCATTAACAGAAACTCCAGGACCTGAAATGTGTGTGTGTCAGATAAGGGAGACATACAAAATGTGCAGTGCTGGGGGGCACCCAGGACCAGGGTTGAGAAACACTGTTCTAGAGTCTTCTGAATTCAAAGCAAATTCAAGTTTCCAATACAAAGTGGTTCAAGGGTCCACAAATGAGACCGAGATGTATCTGACCCCCTCTACGGTGGGCAGACCCTCGTGGTAGTGAGTGAGGCGTCCAGGGTGCAGGAGTGCCCAGCCTCTCCTGGGAGCGTTAACGGAGCAGTTGTACCTCAAGAACCGGCAGCCGCCACCCTGAACAGAAAGTCACGGATCATTAATACAGTCGGCTCTTGCTCTGTCAAACTGCTTCAAAATAGCAGACACATATTTAAAGGGGTCCTATTATGCTCATTTACAAAGTCTTGATTTTGTTTTGGGGGTGTACTAGAACAGGCTCTCATACTAGGTTGTTCGAAAAACACATTATTTTTCACATATTTTACATTATTACAACACCTCTCTCCCCAGTCTGGCATGAACGGCTCGAATAGTTCCTGTATCAAATGAAGGCCCGCCTTCTGAAGGGCCAGTGTGTGTTGTGATTGGATAGCCGGGTCAGTGTGTGCTGTGATTGGTTAGCCGGGCCAGTGTGTGTTGTGATTGGATAGCTGGCCTGGTTGGGAAATGTCACGCCCCTTACCATAGGGGCGTGACATACTTTACTTTCACAGCCTTACTGTGAGCTTCTGTATAAATATGGCGTCAAAATCAAATCAATTTGAGCTCGATTTAAACCCGGATGATTGTAACCACTCTAAGTTTGTCTGCCTTGGGAAAGCTAGCATGTCTCCGACATAGACATTACAGACTAACTAAAGTTGAAAAAGTGAAAAAGCATAATAGCACCCCTTTAAAGGTAATTGTTTCACTTTACAAGCACGAAGAAGGTATGGAAGCCCATTTCTGCCACTAAAAAAATTAAAAAAGGTAATTGTGACTTTTTCCCCTCACATTTCTGGCTTTTTCCTTGCAATTGTGAATTTAACCTCTCGCAATTCTGACTCTATTCCGTATTGTGTCTCGCAATTGGTCGAGATATAAAAATCACAATTCTGAGAAAAAAAGTCCACATTTCATTACATTTCAGTTTAAATCTCTCACTTATGACTATTTCACAGAGTTGTGAGTTTATGTCTCACAATTCTGACTTTATAACACGCAATTAGAACTTTATCATGCAATTCTGACTTTATAACATGCAATTAGAACTTTATCATGCAATTCAATTTCATAAAAAACACAAGAGAAAACTTAATTTTAGAATTCATTCTCCCCCCATTAAGTCCCATGCAAAGCATGCAGGACAGTTTCAGGTATTTCAACATTTTAAATAAACTAATTTAAAAGCGAATAATTCAAGTTTAGAAGAGAAACACAGTTTGGTTGTGTAGATCACAAATAATATGACTGACTAAATCGGACAACTGTGTTTCCTATTTTTTGCAGTGTACCATACTTAATCAATATTTTCTTTAGACACAAGCCAAAATGTTGCTTAATGTTGGTCAATACAACATTTTTTGGCTTTTTACAACTTACTATCATCACAAACAAAAGCTAAATTAGCTTTAATATAATATTTTAATAACACCAGAAAAATTTATAAAAGCCACAATCATTTCTGCACTCAGTAAAGCTAGCCAGTATGTTCTGCACATACTATGAATACTATAAAACACTAATCAAAATACTAAGCAAAATTGTTTTTTTAATTTGTTCTATGGGGAGTGTAATTTGCTTTTAGACAACTGAACAAAACAGTAATAAACCATGATTCACGCTCACCAGGAAAACAAGATTTTCGATTAGAACAATATAAAAATGCACTTTAAATAAGACACTTAACAAAAGGCATTTAACAAAAAGAAAACGGTGTATAGCAGAGCCAAGCATCACAGCCATGTTTTCACTCACCTGATAGTCAATCCCCAGTTGATTGAGCGCTATATTGATAGTGAAAGTAGAGGCGTCATGATGTGGTCTTAGTGCGGGTTGTTCATCAGGTTTATATCTGACTACAAACGCCAGATCAAACTGAGCCTGCAGGAGACAAACACACACACAGAGGCAGAGTCATCAAGCAGCATTCAAAGAAAACACCTCCACTCTGGTACATATTACAATGGCCACTCTTCCAGACCATGAGAATAAAATAATTATATCTCATTATATCTGGAGTTTCTCAAATATCTGGTTTCACTGGAAATAAATGTGTGACGCTGCTTCATGCTGACATGCAAACATCACCCAGTCAGGAATGTCTTCATTTTTACACAACTAGTCTAAAGTTATTCAAATTAAGATTTTTTGAAAGTGTCTTCTGCTCACCAAGGCTGCATTTATTTGATCAAAACTGCAGTAAGAACAGTAATATTGTGAAATATTATGACAATTTAAAATAACTGTGTTCTATGTGAATATGTTAAAATGTGACTTATTCCTGTGATCAAATCTGAATTTTCAGCATCATTACTCTTCAGTGTCACATGATCCTTCAGTAATCATTGTAATATGCTGATTTGCTGCTCGAGTTTTATCAATTATTATTGATACTCAATTATTAATAATGGTTCTTATTATTATCAATGTTGAAAACAGTTCTGCTTAATATTTATTATATATGATTACTTGATGAACAGAAAGTTCACATTTGAAATAGAAATATTGTGTAACACTATAAAAGTCTTTACTGTCACTTTTGATCAATTTAATGCATCTTTGCTGAACAAAAGTATACATTTCTTTTAAAAAATTGCTGACCTCAAAATATTTTAAAGGTAAAATAGTTTATATATTCTCAAAGACAGGACTATAATCTTATACAGTATGTACTATTACAAACTAACTATAATCTTGCCTCCAGGACTGAGTTTCACATAACAGATGTTTATATATACTCCACAAGAAAAAATAATAACTGAATTTATAAAAATGACCCGTTCAAAAGTTTACATACCCTTGAATCTTAATACCGTGTGTCGTTTCCTGGATGATCCATGACTGTTTTTATGTTTTGTGATAGTTGTTCATGAGTCCTGAGTTGGTCCTGAGCAGTTCAACTGCCTGCTGTTCTTCAGAAAAATCCCCCAGCTCCTGCACATTCTTTGGTTTTCCAGCATCTTCTGCATATTTGAACCTTTTCCAGCAGTGACTGTATGATTTTGAGATCCATCTTTTCACTCTAAGGACAACTGAGGGACTCAAATGCAACTATTACAGAAGGTTCAAACGCTCACTGATGTTCAAGAAGAAAAAACCATGCATTAAGAGATTTTTTTCTTATTTTGCCTACATATCATCTTTTTTTCTTTTAGTACTGCCCTTCAGAGGCTACAGAAGATAGTTACATGTTTCTCAGAAGACAAAATAAGTAAAATTTACCCTGATCTTCAAATTCAAAAGGTTTTCACTCTTAATGCATGGTTTTTCCTTCTTGAGCATCAGTGAGCGTATGAACCTTTTGTAATAGTTGCATATGAGTCCCTCAGTTGTCCTCAGTGTGAAAAGATGGATCTCAAAGTCATACAGTCACTGCTGGAAAAGGTTCAAATATGCAGAAGATGCTGGAAAACCAAAGAATGTGCAGGAGCTGGGGGATTTTTTTGGGAGGGTAACTGCTCAGGACCAAGGCAGGACTCATGAACAACTATCACAAAACAGAAAAACAGTCGTGGATCATCCAGGAAAAGACACCGTATTAAGATTCAAAGGTATGTAAACTTTTGAACGGGGACATTATTATAAATTCAGGTTTTTTTTTCTTTTCTTGTGGAGTATATATAAACATCTGTTATGTGAAATAGCTTATTCAGGACAGTAAAGCAGCAAAGGACCAGCTTAAACCAGCATCCCAGCGTCAAAACATACCTAACCAGCATATGCTGTTTTTTTCAACAGGGATATAAGATGATATTTTTCTATTTTCGTTGCAGCGATATGTGTCGAGACGACATTGACTGTGAATACAGTTGGTTTGAATGTATTTTATTTCTTCTGGTGATTTGAGTGTATTGTCTGACCTTGTTTCGAACTTTGGAGCAGAAGGCCATATCCGGATCAAGCGTTGCAGATTCAAACAGGTCAGGATCTTTGAGATCAGTCCTCAATGTATCGGCTTTTATCAGGAATATGTGAGAGATGTATGGCACATTCCACAAACCCCTGTGGAGGCACCGGAGAACAGTCACATGTTTGCCATTTGCCCCAGTTTGATGCATTTCAAAGACTGCTTCATATTTTTAGAGCAGTGAAATACACTCAACATACCAGACCTCCTTCCAACAACAATATCTCTGTGGATTCTCAGTGATTTCACAGAACAAATTAAACGAACTAAACACCAACTTACATGCGGCGTCCTTTAACTATGTCCATGTAATCCTCTGACCTGGCGTAGTACCCGTCGGCACTGAGTGCACCCCAGAAGTTTGTCCACAGACGCCCGGGTTTGGTCATCATTGGTGCAATGAAAGGCCTGTGAGGTTCATAAAAACAATGATTAGAATCAAAGAAAAAAGGCTTTGAAGGCATCAATATCAGGCATCCTCCACAGGTTTGCATGGCAAGTACATTATTGTACATGCAATATTTGTGCATGCTTACAAACAGATGCTATCCATACAGGTTCATTATTTCAAACCCTGAAATATATCTTTAAAAACGCCAGCTACATTACTTTATTTCAATAGGGGACATGAACTCAACAAAGAAAACATATTTGCCTTAATTTGTCAAGTACTTTCATTTCTTCAAGTCTTACTTCTTCACTTACTTATTGAGCTCAATTAAGATTCTAAGCATGTCTTCATTCTTTAAAACCACGTCCACGTCTTATGCAAATATGTTAATAATTTTAACAAAATAAGAGAGTTCATGAAAATTGCATGTTATTTTTTATTTAGTACTGTCCTGAATAAGCTATTTCACATAACAGATGTTTATATATACTCCACAAGAAAAAATAATAACTGAATTTATAAAAATGACCCGTTCAAAAGTTTACATACCCTTGAATCTTAATACCGTGTGTCGTTTCCTGGATGATCCATGACTGTTTTTATGTTTTGTGATAGTTGTTCATGAGTCCTGAGTTGGTCCTGAGCAGTTCCCCCCCCAAAAAAATCCCCCAGCTCCTGCACATTCTTTGGTTTTCCAGCATCTTCTGCATATTTGAACCTTTTCCAGCAGTGACTGTATGATTTTGAGATCCATCTTTTCACTCTAAGGACAACTGAGGGACTCAAATGCAACTATTACAGAAGGTTCAAACGCTCACTGATGTTCAAGAAGAAAAAACCATGCATTAAGAGATTTTTTTCTTATTTTGCCTACATATCATCTTTTTTTCTTTTAGTACTGCCCTTCAGAGGCTACAGAAGATAGTTACATGTTTCTCAGAAGACAAAATAAGTAAAATTTACCCTGATCTTCAAATTCAAAAGGTTTTCACTCTTAATGCATGGTTTTTCCTTCTTGAGCATCAGTGAGCGTATGAACCTTTTGTAATAGTTGCATATGAGTCCCTCAGTTGTCCTCAGTGTGAAAAGATGGATCTCAAAGTCATACAGTCACTGCTGGAAAAGGTTCAAATATGCAGAAGATGCTGGAAAACCAAAGAATGTGCAGGAGCTGGGGGATTTTTTTGGGAGGGTAACTGCTCAGGACCAAGGCAGGACTCATGAACAACTATCACAAAACAGAAAAACAGTCGTGGATCATCCAGGAAACGACACCGTATTAAGATTCAAAGGTATGTAAACTTTTGAACGGGGACATTATTATAAATTCAGTTTTTTTTTTCTTTTCTTGTGGAATATATATAAACATCTGTTATGTGAAATAGCTTATTCAGGACAGTAAAGCAGCAAAGGACCAGCTTAAACCAGCATCCCAGCGTCAAAACCTACCTAACCAGCATATGCTGTTTTTTTCAACAGGGATATAAGATGATATTTTTCTATTTTCGTTGCAGCGATATGTGTCGAGACGACATTGACTGTGAATACAGTTGGTTTGAATGTATTTTATTTCTTCTGGTGATTTGAGTGTATTGTCTGACCTTGTTTCGAACTTTGGAGCAGAAGGCCATATCCGGATCAAGCGTTGCAGATCTCATGAACAACTATCACAAAACAGAAAAACAGTCGTGGATCATCCAGGAAAAGACACCGTATTAAGATTCAAAGGTATGTAAACTTTTGAACGGGGACATTATTATAAATTCAGGTTTTTTTTTCTTTTCTTGTGGAGTATATATAAACATCTGTTATGTGAAATAGCTTATTCAGGACAGTAAAGCAGCAAAGGACCAGCTTAAACCAGCATCCCAGCGTCAAAACCTACCTAACCAGCATATGCTGTTTTTTTCAACAGGGATATAAGATGATATTTTTCTATTTTCGTTGCAGCGATATGTGTCGAGACGACATTGACTGTGAATACAGTTGGTTTGAATGTATTTTATTTCTTCTGGTGATTTGAGTGTATTGTCTGACCTTGTTTCGAACTTTGGAGCAGAAGGCCATATCCGGATCAAGCGTTGCAGATTCAAACAGGTCAGGATCTTTGAGATCAGTCCTCAATGTATCGGCTTTTATCAGGAATATGTGAGAGATGTATGGCACATTCCACAAACCCCTGTGGAGGCACCGGAGAACAGTCACATGTTTGCCATTTGCCCCAGTTTGATGCATTTCAAAGACTGCTTCATATTTTTAGAGCAGTGAAATACACTCAACATACCAGACCTCCTTCCAACAACAATATCTCTGTGGATTCTCAGTGATTTCACAGAACAAATTAAACGAACTAAACACCAACTTACATGCGGCGTCCTTTAACTATGTCCATGTAATCCTCTGACCTGGCGTAGTACCCGTCGGCACTGAGTGCACCCCAGAAGTTTGTCCACAGACGCCCGGGTTTGGTCATCATTGGTGCAATGAAAGGCCTGTGAGGTTCATAAAAACAATGATTAGAATCAAAGAAAAAAGGCTTTGAAGGCATCAATATCAGGCATCCTCCACAGGTTTGCATGGCAAGTACATTATTGTACATGCAATATTTGTGCATGCTTACAAACAGATGCTATCCATACAGGTTCATTATTTCAAAACCTGAAATATATCTTTAAAGACACCAGCTACATTACTTTATTTCAATAGGGGACATGAACTCAACAAAGAAAACATATTTGCCTTAATTTGTCAAGTACTTTCATTTCTTCAAGTCTTACTTCTTCACTTACTTATTGAGCTCAATTAAGATTCTAAGCATGTCTTCATTCTTTAAAACCACGTCCACGTCTATGCTGAAGAAGTATTCACAGTCAATGTTGTCTCGACACATATCGCTGCAACGAAAATAGAAAAAAAGAAATCAATGGAATATTCAAAGCATAGAGGAGCCATTCGTACAATGACAAACTATGGCCATGTCCACACGTACACGGGTATTTTTATAAACTGAGTTTTTCCTTCTTCCGTTTTTAAAAAAATCTCTGTCCAAATGAAAACGCAAACGCATGCTATGAAGCACTGTCAAGAGCATGCCAAACCAACAGGTGGCGACATAGTCTCAACCGTAAAGCCATGTTGGCCAATCAGAAGCCTGAAAAAAGTCTCCAGTAGGCGGAGATAACAGTGCAGGCGCCGACGTCACAAGCCAAAAACCCTGGCAGGCGTTTTCAAAAATGTTCGGTTTCAGTGACCTGTTGCTGCGTTTGCGTGTGGACGAACGGCCAAACCGCGTAGAAAAAACTGCGGTTTTAAAAATAACCGCGTTTGTGTGAAAAGGGCCTATGTTCACTGGTTATGGACGTTGAAGTATTAAAATTGACTCTGTTTATTTTTTGTAAAAATAACTATTGTATTTAAAAAAAAACACTCACAAGCCAATATCACGTGAGGTCAGAGGATCTATATCCTCCTCTGGTCCAATCAGCTTCACACCCTGGTATTCAGACTCGTGATACTCCAGAAATGAGCGTATGTGTGGTTCGTGATGTAATTCCTGCAAAAGACACGAATCAAAAGGATTGTCCTTCACGGTATATACTGAACATAAAAAAAAACATCCATGAAGAATTACAGTAATGAACATCAATGTAGGCGATTCATTAATATACACAAAGTTCATGTGAATCTAATCTGATCCGCCTTTAATGAAGACCCAACTTATGAAAAGACGCTCAACAGGACAGGCGTATCAGTTACCGAATACTGATCTTAGATAGATAGATGTCTATATAATAATAAATAAGGACTGTCACCATTTTAAGAGCTTAATTGGTAACACTTTACAATAAGGCCCCATTTATTAAAGAGGTCATATGATGCGTTTGCATGTTTTCCTTTTACTTTAGTGTGTTTTGTAGCTGTTTGTGCATGTATAAGATCTGCAAAGTTACAGAACACAAGAACCCGGACCACAGCTAAGACCATGTGATGCACACACTCCCAAAATGATGTGATAGTTATATACAGTATATTCTAAATAAACTACAAACAAAAAATAGATACATTTCTTTTTCCTCATTCTTTCTTGTAGCAATTCCCTCTCAGTCACACACCTGACAGCTCATTATGCAGGCCTTTGTCTTCTCAGGTGTGAATCACTCATTATACATGACCATTCACGCCCCCTCGCATATTCCTTTTCTACACAAAAAGTGTCTTAGAAAATTTAAATCAATATATTGTTTTCTGTGAGTGAGTAAACAAGATGATTTTCACATCATTCTGATGCAAAAACTCTAGACTTCAAGATCAGTTCTCAATAGTCTTGTGAACAAATGTTCTGTATGTGTTTTATGGCCTTATTTCAGTGACTTAAAAATTTTAGTTTTTCACTAAGCACGCATAAACGTTGTTTTCTCAAAAACACAATCACATACATACATGCTGCCCACATATTATTGTAGCCCAGTTTGTGCTGATTATGGTGCTACTAAACTTAGTCATTAAAATGTGTATTAGCAACTGAAAAAAGCACAAATGTCAGGACATGTCAAAACTTCTCCAGGGCCCAAAACACCCTCAGACCCCAGAGGGTTAAATACTAGCTTCAATGACAGCCCCACTTTGCGTATGCGCATTAAAATCCAATACCTGCGCATGCTCGTCAAACATCCAATACGTATTGGATCTGATCCAGCTACGTCATCGTACTACAGGCTGCAGCGAGGACCTCTTGAAAATATGGGGCAATTCCAACTTTGCTCGGACAATCTGGCGCTTCTGAATCAGAGCCCGTATGTATGTTTTAAAATGTGCTATTGACTGTTCAAATGCAGAGTTTGGTAAAGTGTAGAGTAATGCTTACTGTTTGTCGTTCTTACGATCACAAGTGCAGACAGAGATGGATTTATGTTTACAAATGTAGTATCCTCTGTAGCATTACATTTCCGACACATGCTTGAGATGTTCGGCCAATGACAACGCACTGGGTCAGCTGGCCAATCAGAGCACACTGCGCTTTTAGAAGGAGGGGCTTTGTAGAAATCGACACATTTTTTTCAACAAATCCTAGACGGCCACCGGGACAAGACCACAGGAACCAGTTGAGTCCTCTGCACAATCTGACTTTACTGCAGCCTGGAATTGAACTGCTGGTTTCGTCTGGTCAGAGGAGAATTGCCCCCCAACTGAGCCTTGTTTCTCCCAAGGTTTTTTCTCCATTCTGTCACCGATGGAGTTTTGGTTCCTTGCCGCTTTCGCCTCTGGCTTGCTTAGTTGGGGACACTTCATTTCCAGCGATATCGTCGACTTGATTGCACAGATACTATTTAAACTGAACTGAGCTGGATGATGACCACTGAATTCAATGATGATCTGCCTTTAACTGAACATTGAGTGTTTACTATTGTCCTTTTGCATTAATGACACACTATTTTCCTATTTAATGCTGCAAAGTTGCTTTGACACAATCTGTGTAAAGCACTATATAAATAAAGGTGACTTGACATTTTAGAAAGACTGTGCATAGAGGATCTGCAATAATGAACAGTACGTGAAAAATAATGCCTTTTTTGAACATTAAAGCATGCTAACATATTCTATTACACCCAATACACAAAATAATGAGCTTTGAAAGTAGCATCATATGACCCCTTTAACATTTGCAAATGCATTAGCTAACATGAACTAACATTTAATTTTGTTAATGTTAGTTAGTAAAAATAGAATTGTTCATTGTTTATTCATGTTAAAAATGTATAAGTAAAAATTTAACTTACCATAGACTAATATTAATAAATGCTGTTCAAGTATTGTTCATTGTAAATTCGTGTTAACTGATGTAGTTAACAAATGTTAACAATTAAACCTTATGGCAAAGTGTTACCGCTTAACTGTTAAAAATGCACAGAGTTATAAATCTGAACATAATGTTTTACCTGATTATAGATGAATAATTGGAGGCGGTTTTTGGGGTATTTGAGGTTAAGCAAGCGCTCAAAGAACACAGAGACGAAGGGTGTGGGCTGCTGGATGAAGATCCCAATGACCACCATAGGATATTGACTCTCCTGCAGACAAAAAACAGCCAAGCCATTCATAAACCAAGCAATTATTTAGCTGAAGCTTCATTTCAATTGAAATGTATATGTTTAGCTGCCTATGGAAGTGTCTATGAATGCTTATGGTGTAAACAGTGAAAATGTGCAGTAATTAGACTTTTATTGGTGTAAATTAATGTAGTCACGTTCATAAAGTTCTATATTATTTTGTATTATTTAAAATATATATTTTAATAATTTTAAAATTTGTATTGGTTCAATGCAATGTATTGTATGTGAACAGTGAACACTGAATTGAATTTCAGCTTTTTATTTCAATTTTAGATTTGTTTATTTATATATTTAATATGTCTGAATCAGCCTGACTAAAGTAGGCCATTTTTAAGGGTCACATCAGGTATAAACAGCTCCTTCGGGTAATAACTACACACTGTCAATCTTTACATTGTTATCATGAATATTTAATAATCAAGATGTATGGAGCCCTGCACATGCCACGCAGAAGAAAGAAATAGGTATCGAGTCCATAAATTAAAAAATTTGCTCCCACAACTTAATAATTTGTGGCCACATTTTTTGTGTTTGGTTTGGTTACTAATTAATTAGTCATGGGAGCTAATTCCTAATTTGTGGCCACAATATCTTGCTTTTTCCCCCTTCATGCTCCGTAAAAGTGGATTTGACTAAAGTTATTTCATAAAACAATCTATACAATAAATCTAAACACAACAGTTCCTTTATAAATGGCTTTCATGATTAATTTTAATTTAAAAAAACACTGATGGTAAAAATAGTAAACGTAAGGCCCACCTGGAGTCCAGAAAGAGGTCGCAGACCCTCGTTACATAATGTGCAGCCAGTCTCAAACATCCACAGATGTGGGATATAGTTCCCTAGGTAGTTTATCTGAAGCTGAAAGAAACAGCATTTTTTTTAAATTATTATTATTATTATTAAACTGAACAAGACAGAACGCTATAGAAAAGATCTTACTTTTACATTACAGTTATTTGGATCATAACACTAAAATAGTTTTACTTTGGTGGGTCCGTTGCCATGGATAATAACGGGTAGAGTGTTGTAAAGCACATTTCTGGCTCGCACGCGTCCATCTTCAAACTTCAGCACGACCTCATCTGTTCATGCAATTAAAAATATATATATATATATCATTAATATTCTGATTAAAATTCGACATAATCGTTCAGTTGCAGCTGAATTATGTTTGAATCGTTGTGTAGTTATATGATCAGTTAAATGTCCATAAATATCTACTGGCCCATTCATAAAGGATTTCCTCCATAAATGTTTAAATGAATCTCCCTTGGGCATCTGTAATGGATACCTGTGATCCAGAAAGAGAAAGGAAGCTTTTTAAACCACCTAAAGTCGCTCTCCTCCCACAATCTGGCAGTGAGTCAAAACTACAGCTGCCAGGCGAGCAGAACGCAGCTTTAAACTCAAATAGAAGACTTCAGTCCACGTGAAACCAATCAGCATTTGAGACCCTCAGCAAAGCATTGCATTAGCGATTCCTCATTAAACTGAAAGGTTACAGAAAGAGGAAACATCCCAGCAGGCATCAGAGAGCGAGAACTGTACTGACGCTGCACCATAAAAAGGGATGCTTTTCTTCAGAGAGCTGATGCTAGGGAGAAATTTGCAGAAGCCTCCTTAAAGTTTACAATGGAGCTGTTCTCCAATTAAATCTCCAACAGCTGTATTTCTAAAGCGGGCTGTAAGAACACAAAACGATACACTTACCAAGAGCTCCGTGAAGATTCTGGAACAATCTGCACTTGTTGTCCAGAGTTATATTTATAGACTTCTAAAGAGGAAATGACAGGGAAGAAAATGTCAAAACGCAGTGTAAACACATTTAATGTGTCATTACTGAAAACTGTGAACTTGACTGTGCATTCTGAGAACAGGGCAACATATCTTAAAACAGAGCAATAAAGTTTTAGGAAACCACGCTATGCCCAACAAACTATAGCCAAACACTCACTCTTTTCTCCGGGTTGATATATAGCTTGGTGAAAAAGAGTTGGTCACTGTCACTATCTGCTCCTGACCAGTCCGAAAGCATCTGTTTAAGATTGGGTGCATAGCCAATGAAGCCTAGAAAAAAAGAAAACATCCAGCGTAACAATGGAAAAAGCCCATAAATAAACAGACGCATATTATTATTATTATCTGGTTTAGGTGTGTACTTGGATGATTTAAACTTTGAATTATTAGTCATGAAAAGAAGGAAGAGAGTGGATTTTCAGAGAGGCTACAGATGGCAATAATGACAGTAAAGTATTCTCTGATTATATGCAAGTATGAGAAAAATGAGTGATTGTGAGAAAGGAAGAAGCCTCAAAAGTCTTAGTAAAGCAGTTCCTAGTAAATGTAGCCTAACTCTCTACAAAGACAAGAATATGAGCTCTTCGCAATTACATTCAACCGCTGAATTATAAGGTTAAAAGTGATTATTTTAGTTGGTGGTATGCTTGGTTATAGCTACTGTATGATGAATTACAAGATATTATTAAAGGCATTGGTTTGCTTCCATTCTATTCTATGCACCATTGCCTCCAAAACTAAAGCATTCATCCACTGTTAAAATAATAATTTTATAATTGCTGAATTTAGGGCTTTAAAATAAACAAAGACCCAAGTATAACATACTGTAATCGACAAAATAAAGTATAATTGTATATACAACACAGTTCTAATTGTAATGCATTATTTTGTTTTGAAGACATTTTATTGAAGTATTACAGTAATGAGAATGGTTTAATTTTCATGAAAATAACGTAACAAAATTGGATCTTAGTGGTCCTAAAAAGAGCCTCTTTGTATTTAAATAAAACATTTTTTTTAATTACTCTTTTGATTTTGTGGTGAAATATATGGTGCATTCGAGTCATGTCGGAAAGATCGTACTTTAGGAGTTGAACGCACATTAACGCCACCACAATATCATAATCATGAATGGGAAACTCTTTTCTTTGAGCCCGAGTTTACCGAGTGACAGTAAATGTATTTTATATATATACTGTATATATATATATATATATATATTTACAATATAACTAACAAAGTTGCATATAAAAAATATAGTATTTTGTAATATGTATAGTAAAAATAGTATCGTTCAATGATGATTGTATATATATATATATATATGTGACCCTGATAAACCCCGCCCTCGGGAAAAGGCAGCAAAGGGGGCGAGGCCATGCTGCACTGCTTTAGAGAAGAGGAAGAGAAAACTAGAGGTGCACGTAAAAATCTATTCATATATGAATCACGATTCTGTCTTCTAACGATTCTAATGGATTCACAAGTTTCAAAATCAATGTTCTAAAGCAGCGGTTCTTAATACTGTTCCTCGCGTCCCCCTGCTCTGCACACGCTCTTCATCTCTCTCTCTCTCTCTCTCTCTGTCTCTCATTCAGCTCAGCTCCAACAATGAACTGTTCCAATTATACACTTATTTTCACATAGCTAAGAGAAGCGTTAAACAAGCGTTAGATGCGCACTAGAGGCGGTTTAGCCAATCACAACACACTGGACTAGCGAACCAATCAGAGCCTATCGCCTATTTCTGAGGGAGGGGCTTCATAAAAGAAGGAAATGATCAGTGCGTTTCTCAGAGAAGGGACAGAGCGGTGTGGAATAAAGGTAAACTATGTGAAAAATAATGCTTTTTTAAAAAACGAAGCATTAACACATGTTAGACTGCACCCCATGAACACAATCAAGCCCAGAAAAAAAACAGTGAACCACTCCTTTAAAAAACATTGCTGTATTTTTTGTAAAAAAAAAAAAGGATATCGACATCTTGCTCTGACTAAAGAGATTTGAACACACCTGATGTCGTATTTATGACTTTCCGACTAGTAAACAAAGCTCCCAGGAGGCCATGTCATTGTGGATATCGACATCTTGCTCTGACTAAAGAGATTTGAACACACCTGATGCCGTATTTATGACTTTCCGACTAGTAAACAAAGCTCCCAGGAGGCCATGTCATTGTGAAATGTATGTGTAAATGATTCATAACATTCATTTTGAATCCAAAACTATACAAAATGGAGCTTACAGAGCTTATCGTACATCTAAAGCTAATAATAGAACAAGAGAGAAAGACATGCCTCCTGCTCCAAGGAACCTCTTCCCTTCCCTGACATGAGGATGCTTGTCTTCCAGGTGACGGTCCGGCCAGATGAGTGTCTCGGCAGAAAACACAACTCTGTGCTTGGCCTGCTGAAATTTCTTCAGCAGCTCTCTCGGACCAGAAGAAAAGATCACGTCATAGCTGTGGAAAGCCCAAGCATAAACAATCGTTACTGTCAATGATCAACACTGATAGCGGAAACGGTACAGACAAATCATTCCAGGCATGATTATGATGGACATAACTACCTATCCACTAAAAGAATGACTCTGTTCTCGTCCTGTATGTCCTCCAGAGCAGACTTCAGCAGGCGCACCTTCTGCCCTCCACCTGGAGGAGACATGTAATCTCCACCTTTCCATGATTCACCCCTCCCGAGAACCTAAAAAACAGCAGAGGAATGTCAGGCATCAGTCTGTGGATCATAACCTGTGAACTGTGTTATATTGGGGGCATCTAACAAAAATGTCAAGGTCATATTTAACCCATATTTAATGTAATTTTCATTAAGAACAAAAAGTGACAGGATGATGCTAATTAATAAAATACTACAAAATGACATGCAATATATTGATATACATCAGAATAAATTAAAGGTAAAGTAGTAATTATTTATGCATTACGATTTAAACAGTATATAATTATGTTTTTGTGCATTATAGCAAGGATGAGAATGATATTTTGGCATGTTTAGCATACAGGACGATTATGCATCAACCAATGTGTTATTATAGGAAACAAATCGATTTTTCTAAGTGTCTTTAAAATACTAAATCTACTATTCTAATTAAAATTGTATTTTGACAATTTAGTCGAATAATTGAATAACTGATGACAGACGAAGCAGAATCCCAGTAAAAAAGATTCATCTGAAAGGTAAATTTATGCTATGACTTTTATACAGGCATAGGCTATTTACATATTTAATTGGCCGTATTTTAATTGAAGATTAGTCATAAAAGCACCATTAATTTCACTCAATTAGCCTATAAGTTTCAATGAATGCGAAGAGATGTCTAAAATGTAATACTGAATAATAACCCCATTAATTACAATAAGTATTTCATTTAAAAATAATAACACTACTATCAACATGCCACTTGGGTCCTTCTGTGCCAACTCTGGGGCCCATTTTACCTCAAGGGTCTAATTTTATCTTTTCACTTTTACTTTTTACCTAAAAAAAAACTAGCTTTCACGGCACAAATCCAAAAAGCATTGATGTGTCCACAAATCATTCCCAAATAGACACAAAAAAATGTAATATTCAATATAATATGATGCCATAAATTATTCTTTTCTAGAGAAACAAAACTAGATTAACCTCAAAACTGTTTCGACTGATTTAAAACTCACAAATGACTAAATTCATCAGAAGTGTTCAGATGAGATTTTGTGCCTTCTATAGCTAGTCAAGAGAAAAAAAATCGATCTGAATTATAACCTGATAACTTCATAGAAAACCCTAACGTTGCACTTTATTAACATACTTATTTCAAACCAGTGACTGTAGAATAACCGCCTCACCTTGATGGTGTAATTGAAGTGCTTTGCGGATATTTTCTAGAGAAACAAAACTAGATTAACCTCACAAATGACTAAATTCATCAGAAGTGTTCAGATGAGATTTTGTGCCTTCTATAGCTAGTCAAGAGAAAAAAAATCGATCTGAATTATAACCTGATAACTTCATAGAAAACCCTAACGTTGCACTTTATTAACATACTTATTTCAAACCAGTGACTGTAGAATAACCGCCTCACCTTGATGGTGTAATTGAAGTGCTTTGCGGATCTCAAGAAGCGCCTGAAGCCATCAGTCTCCTGCGTGGCCACAGTCAGCACGAGAAGATCTCCTGAAAACACACAACAGCATGAACACACAGGAACGTGCAGCTCCTCTGTCTACGTGCTGGAAGAGCACATCCTAATGGGAATCCCACAGCCACTGCTCTCTTGTGAGGATCAGACAGCAACTCCAGGCACAGCTGCAATATTAAAGGGATAGTTCACCCAAAAATGAAAATGTGATGTTTATCTGCTTACCCCCAGGGCATCCAAGATGTAGGTGACTTTTGGCGCTTTTCCACTGCGTGGTACGACTCGGCTCGGTACGGCTCAATATGGCACGGCACGGCTCGGTTTGCGTTTCCACTGCAGTTTAGTATCGCTTTAGAGCGGGCGGGATTATTCACATGTCGTTATAGTTGCGACGGTGGTGTCGTTAGGTAGTGACGATTCTCTCCGGCCAATCCGTGATCGGCAGAGTTTACACGTCACGTTTTGGTAACGGTACGGTTCGCTTGGAACCCCCACCGCGGTGGTACTAAAAAAAGTACCAGGTACCAGGTAATGTACCCAGTGGAAACCCCCCCAAAAGTGACCCGTACGGAGCCGTACCATGCAGTGGAAAAGCGCCATTTGTTTCTTCAGTAGAACACAAACGGAGATTTTTAACACAAACCGTTGCAGTCTGTCAGTCTTATAATGGCAGTAAGATGGGAATCATGGCTTTGAGAGTCAAAAAACATACACAATCAAAACCAAATTAAACCCTGCGGCTCGTGATGATACTTATAATGCACTTATAATTATAAAGCAAGAAGAAGAAGAAGACGCGAACGCGCTCAGGACAGTTCGGACATTGCGGAGAATCAGAGGTAAAAAAACGATATAAATACTGTTCAGTTTCTTGCACAGACCGATCGTTTCGTGTCTTTACACATCAATGTATCGTCACGAGCCGCAGGGTTTAATTTGGTTTTGTTTGTGTATGTTTTTTTGACTCTCAAAGCCGTGATTCCCATCCACTTGCATTATAAGACTGACAGACTGCAACGGTTTGAGTTAAAAATCTCCGTCTGTGTTCTACTGAAGAAACAAAGTCACCTACATCTTGGATGCCCTGGGGGTAAGCAGATAAACATCACATTTTCATTTTTGGGTGAACTATCCCTTTAACATACTCGTATACATTATTCGACCTGGTCAAGAAAGCTAGTTCTGCTGCAAAAGTGGTATCTCTTTAGCCGACACTGTGCTTTATTTATTTTTCTTGCAACGCAGTCTAGGTTACCTTGAACATATCTGGCTCCGAGAAAACGAGCGTAGCTACAATGTAACAAAGTCTTTTGTTGCACTCACATTTCGCAATTTTAGTTTTTTGTTGTTGTTGCTCTTATTTACAAACGTGAGAACTTTTTGCATCGTTTTAGTGTAATTTGCTGTGATTGATCATCATAAGCTGAGCGGATCCGCACTGATATCTGTGTGAAGAAGGGGTCCACGTCAGCGGTGCGTCTGGAGAACTGTATCAATGCAAACAGCCTGTTCACACTGAGATCAGCTGAAAGCACTGCCTTACCCTCGGGGATCGAGCCCTGCTGATTACAGGCGAGCGGAGAAAAGGACGCAAACAAACAGGCGAGCATGCCCAGAACTCCTCTCATCTTCGGACCCGTTATTCTTCCGTCCTCCACAGTAACACGGCGGCTGATGAAACAAGGCCTTTCCTCGAGAGAGAGTTAGTTCTGCATTCCCGAGCAAACACAGCCTGCCCACTCCTGCCTTCCTCCACCCTCGGCTTCAGCAGAAGGAGAGGAGCAGCTCAGTTTGTTATGAACGGGAGTTCAAAGCGTCACAACTGTCCTCGATGTATACAATTACAAGGAGGGAAAAAGCATGAATAAAACCACTTTTTTTTACTCCAATTCATATTTCTGATGGTATGTTAAAGTTTTGTCTTCAAAAAAAAAAAAGCTATAGGCAAAAGAGTTTGTTGAACACAATTGTCACACTGGAATGTGAAATTAGATAGGCTTTTTAGCAAAAGTAAATTAAAACACAATATTTGAATATAGGCTAGTAACGAAATCTAATATATACATTTTTGAACCTTTCAATTATAAACATTTATAAACTTCCAGATGAAATCTTTTTATAGTTAACTCTTGTCTGTACAGTGGGCTACAAATTAAATATGAATGCAAATTAAAAACAAAAACAAATTATGTCAGACTATTTCATAATAATAATGAAATATAAATTATATATACATTTATATGCATGCATTTAATTGACACTTTTATCCAAAGTGACTTACAAAAGAAGAACAAAAGCCAACAATATAGTTTATTAGGCAACTAGAGAAAGCGATCTATTATATATATATATATATATATATTAAGTGCATTTATCAAATGTTAAAAAAAATCTATAATTATCTTTTATTACAAGTTATACAAGTATTAGGCCTGTCAAAAATATGCAGCATTTATTTATTTATTTAATGCACATATAAAATATGTTGGTTACCCAATATAATTAAATACCAACACACTTATTTATTTATTTATCTATTTATTAAAAAAAAAAATTATATATATATATATATATATATATATATATATACCATTATATTTAAAACTGTCGTCTTTAAAACAAACTATCTCATCTATTAGTTCCACGGACTGAAAACAGCAAAGGCAGCAGTCATCACCGTTTCGACGTTGCCAGGTCGGTCTTAAATACTGGTCCAGGATCAGTTTTGTCTTCCGCTGCGTTGCAGGGACGTTAAACACGCTGCTAAGGGCTGATCCTGGAACAGCGATTTCAAGCGCTTTAGCCACAGCTCGAACTACGACAGGTCTTCGACACTTCCGGTGTTTTTACGGCAGCCTGCTGGTCTTCCTTCCGCAAGCAGAGGTGTCAGCTGGCTGAGGGAGACATGTACACACAGCAAATAACACAGACAAGCGACCGTCGAAATAACTGAACTCTAGCCGGAACACGCGGCGCAAACATTGCTTCGAGGCGACAAAGTAAACGCGGAAGGGTGAGCAGAACTGTGCTGACTAGCCTGATAACAGCAACTACAGCACTGCAATAAACACAAACTGTGCAGCTACAAGTTGCTGGTTTAACAGATGTTTGGAGTTGTTTTGCACTTATTTGAACGGAAACTCGACACTCAAGTGTTTGCTTCGTCAATGAGGAAGTAGGGGTTTCCAGCACTCAGTGACTGAAGAAATTATTATAGCCCTTTGTGCGCGTTGCTCTTCAAGTCAAGCTTGATAAGTTAACACTACTATGCCTGTCAGAGCTGTCTGCCACTCCCAGCTTTTACTGCTGTCAGGAAGTCACTGATGCCCGCTGCAGTGATCGCCCTCCACTGATGCCCACTGCAGTGATCGCCCTCCACTGATGCCCGCTGCAGTGATCGCCCTCCACTGATGCCCACTGCAGTGATCGCCCTCCACTGATGCCCGCTGCAGTGATCGCCCTCCACTGATGCCCGCTGCAGTGATCGCCCTCCACTGAATATCTGGCAAGTCGACTGAGCACAGTCTGACATAATTGCTATTCAGTATATATATTTCAGGTTCATTGTATGCACCTCAACATTTTTTTTACAGTTCTGAATTAAAGGGATAGCTCACCCAAAAGTGAAAATTCTGGAGTCATTTACTCACCCTTAAGTTGTTCCAAACCTGTATGAAATTTTCTTCTGTTGAACTCAAAAGTAGATATTTTGAAGAATGTTGATAACCAAACAGTTGCTGAAAGCCATTGACTACCATAGTTTTTTTTTTTCATACTATGGAAGTCAATGGCAAGCAGCAAATGTTTGGGTACCAACAATCTTCAAAATATCTTCTTGTGTGTTCAGCAGAGGAGAGAAACTTATATAGGTTTGGAATTTTTATTTTTGGGTGAACTATCCCTTTAATTAATCTTAGGGGTCATATCATGACAAATCCTTCCTTCCTTAATCTTAGAAGTATTCAGTGTATTATGGAAGTACAGTACAAACAGTACAGTAGTTTTAACTCAAAATCCCCCCCTTCCCCTGGAAAAAAAGACAGAAAGAAATATAAAAAATTGGACAGAAACTGGAAACTGCCACTAGCCAAATACAAGTATTGAGTGTAATGTAAATTGGCCTTCTCTACCAGCCACTGCACTCTTAAATATAAAGGTTCCAAAAGGAGGGTTTTGTAGCAATGAACCATAGAAGAACCATTTTCAGTAAACCATTTTTTTATTTTACAGCTAAACTACATCTACTTTTTCCGCTATAAAGAACCTTTTGCACAATGGTAAGGTTCCATGGACGTTAAAGGTTCTTTTGGAACAAAAGATGCCAATAAAGAACCTTTATTTTTAAGAGTGTACAAGATCTTAGATTATCCTTTGACAGGTAATGCTGCTGATTAGAAACAACAACACACTCTTCTTGAATTCTTCTTGAGTAAGCGCCCTTTTTATGTATATATAT